TAAAATTAAGTATTTTATTCGTAAGTGTAATAGTATGGGAATGGGATATTCTTGTCTCAGAATGTCAGCTAAAACCTCACTCTGAAGGGAGACTCTACACATATGCATGAAGGATACAGGACTTGTTAGAACAAAGCAAATGCTATCTAGAGACAATTGTACTCCATAGCCTGTACCATTACAGAAGACTAGACATTTGAAAAGAATTAATTGAAGTAATGGGATTCGTGGATATTGAGAGTGCTGTGGCCTTTTCCCTATTCTCCTAAAGATGGGGAGAAGATGGTTTACCCCCACCCTGGTAAGAAAAGAGACTGGCATCTCCTGCACATGTCATGTATCTGCTGAGCTGCTGAAATTCCAAAAGGTTGCTCCTGGATGAGGGAGTAAAGGTGTTATTAGGAGAACTTGTCATGTGTCCTCAGTAGTTTGGGTTTTGTACTAAAAAATGAACACCAATACTTGTTTCTTACCTGGATAAATTCTGAAGGCAGTAGGTTAGCTAGAATACCCAAGATGGTAGGGTAAAAGCAGATGCGTTAACAGTTAAGTTGCATTTCCACTATTTAGCAAGGCAATGAACACATATTCTTGGTGGGCCAAATAAATGGTGTGGAAGATAGATGTGAATCATCTTCAAAACATGTCAACCAGGAGGGCTATCTACTTGAGTAAGGAGAGCCTGGGAGTAAGCAATTGTATGGGATATACTGCTAGGAAGTGATAGATAAGAGGAAATTATAAGACACCAGCCAGAGATTGCATTATTCATCCAGGAATGGTGTAATGTGCAGGATCCCCAGGAATTACCAAGGAACTCAAGTTCAACCATCAAGAAAGCCAGTATTTGGAGGCCTGCCATTAGAGAAGGCAAGAGTTCAAATACAATAGTGTCAGTCTTGTACAACTTTCTTCCATCCACTCTTTCACCCTCAGCCCTCAATAGTAGAGAAGCAAGCAACAGGAGTGGGGAAGAGAATTGGAAAAGCAAGGGTAAGAGCTGTGAAAAGCAAGGGTAAAAACAGACAACATGTCCACCTTGCCAGACATCTTCAAGCCAAAGGTTAGGTCTGGGCTGGGGGCAAGGGAGGGAAAGAGCATTGAATTGGTTGTGAGACTGAAGTTTTATTTCAAGCTAGCTGATTTTTAAAAAATCTGATAATGGACTGTGCTAAAGGGGCACCTGGTTGGCTCAGTCGTTAAGCGTCTGCCTTTGACTCAGGTCATAATCCCAGGGTCCTGGGATCGAGTTGCGCATCAGGCTCTCTGCTCCACGGGAAGCCTGCTTCTCCCTCTCCCACTCCCCCTGCTTGTGTTCCCTCTCTTGCCGTGTGTCTCTCTCTGTCAAATAAATTAAAAAAAAAAAGGACTGTGCTAAAGTATTTATCACCAATACTTTAGCTGTCTATTAAATTGTAAAGCACATGTTTGTTCATTCTCGGTCTAATGGCATGGCATGTAGTAACTGAGAACCTATGGAATATTTCTGAAGTGTCCTCCAGGGACAGGGAAAATAGAACCAACTGAGGATGTTTAATGGCAGTGATTAGAGAAAAACAGAGCCATTGCTTATTCAGATGCTCTAGAGCTTAACCCATTCAATAAATTGTCTACCTATGAAAAACACATACGTGGGTGTATACACACACACATGCATATAACAAACTTTGGCTCATCTCATTGGCATCATGATTATAACCAAATAATGGGCCATCCGAAGAACATGGTATCTTCTACACATAAGGCCATTTATGAATCTTCTAATATTACTTCTAATATTACTAATATTATGGACAGGGAAAAATAACAATAAAAATAACGAGAATGAATTGAGTGCCTACCATGTACAAAAACTGGGCTAAATGATTTATATAAGTAATACATCATCTCATCCTAGTTCAATTTTTAAAAGGAGTAGATAAGGTTAGTCTCATTTTAGACTTGGAGAGGTTAAGTGAAAAGAAGGCTTTAAGATTTAGATCTGGGAGGCCTGCCTGTATTTCAAAATACATATTTGTGGATATATTCTTAACTTCCCAAAGTCTACTTGAGAACTTCTGAAAAGGGAGACATAGTCCTTTAGAGAAATTCCATTCCTCTGTGGTATATGTCATATTATTATGAGATTCTTCCATATATTAGAATTCTAATATTTTCTGTAAAACATTTACGCATAGAGTGTGTGTTAAGTGTATCTTCTACATGGTTTCACAAGGGGAAACATGGTTGTTCATTAACTTCTTTATCCATTCAATGAGGACTTATTGATCATCTAGTGTAAGTCACACACTGTACTAGGTGCTGAAGTTAACATGATGAACAAGACAAAATTTTTGCCTGAATGGAAGATATTGGGCATTTTTCTACAGATTGTCCCTCATTTCCTCTAATCATCCTCAATTTCTTCTTTTTTCCATTGTAAAATAAGATTTAGAAAATATATACACATGTCTTCTAGAACACAGTGAGACACGAGCACTCGTATACAAATATATTTATAATGATCACACTTAGAAAAGCAAATAATAAAATCCTAAATATCCAGGATAGTAAGATAAATGATTGTTAATATGCCAGATAGGCTATTATGTCACTGCAAAGTATGTTCATGATAGATTTTTAATGCTATGGAAATGGCAGATAGTACATAACTGTCTTTTTAGACAGTTTTGATCCAATTGTCTGTGTGTACATGTGTGTGGGTTTGCCTACACAAATGTGCGTTGAAGAAAGGTTGGAAGAAAATATACCAAAGTCTTAACAACAGTTACTTACTGGATAGTTAATGTTAATGATATTTTCTGTATCTTCTATTTTTTCTCTAACAAGCATGTCTTATTTTGAAAGTACAAGGTGCATGCCTAGTCTGTAAAGGGCGTTGCTATAGGCTCTGGAACAACTGTACAATCAGCATAGTAGGGCATCTGCTTGGGGACTACAGTGTTTATAAATTAAAATGAGTACGTGTGTGTGTGTGTGTGTGTGTGTGTGTGTAAGTGTATGGTCAATTCTTTATTTTCCATAACTCACTTTTTATCCCATTTTCCTTTCTCACTGTAATCCATGTGAGTCACATCTCCCCACAGTCAGTTGAGAGCCAACCATGTTTAATAATAGCCCAAGAAAAACATACATAGGAAGATAAACCTACTGATGGCTAAAGGATAACCACTATGAGTTCAGAGCCAAGTATAAAATGACTTTTGAATATACTATCTTTTAGTTTATCTGAGTTCCTGATTGCCTCTACAGACAAAGATCACCGATCAGTGACCATTGATTTAGCAATAGTTTTGACCTTTGATGTAGAATCATAATAGCTAATAAGAATGAATAACAAATTTATAAAAACAAAAGCTTCCATTTTGAAATTAAATGACTACTTTTTTCATAGCAATGGGAGTTTGGAGGCTATAAATGTCTTCTTTTTTGATTATCTTCTTACAACTTGTAACCAATACTTTAGCTATCTATTAAATTGTAAACTACATGTTTTGTGCATCCTGAGGTTTAATGACATAGCATGCAGTGATGGCTAGAACTAATAACTAACAAGTCATAAGCAAATGAACCTGTTTGGGTTGGGGCACACTGTGGATTAGAATTTTTATTAGGTAAAATTGATTTATTATGTAGCTGAAAAGAAAGCTGTTAGTATTTCTGATATCTGTATTTCAATAGAAATACAACACAAGTATTTTATACTATTTGTTATTCTAGAAAATTAAGAAGTATCAGAGATGGATCTATCCCTTTCTCTATTAGCATACAAATCTAATATTTATCTTTGGAGGCATAGAAGTTGGAAAGTTTGTATGACAATTTTCCCAGCATTCAGTCCATCTCCAGTATAGCCACAGACCTCCTCCATATGTCATCTTATCTTCCAACACAGAAGTTAATGTGGAACATGATCTAACATAGCTTATGTCAAATGTAGCACAACTGAACATAAGCTCAAGCCAGCAAAGATAGGGGATTATACCTCAATTATTTGCTGGAACTAGGTTTTGGAGAGACTGCTCAACCAGTATGAGACAGTATACAGTGAATACTAAATTGAACTCACACTCCTGGAAAATTGAAGCCAGTGGCTCAATGTACTCAGTGAAAAGGAAACACACGCAGGCACACTTCTGGAGTGCTGGGACATTTCACAAACAGGACATTTATCATTGTTTGCTTAAGCAATATTTACAAATATAGAGGACCTGCCCTTACATAAAAATAAATTATACAGCCATTATGGATTATTATTTGAGGTGCTACAAAATGTCTATGTGTACCTGTTATCCATCTCATGCTTCTCTGTCCACCTGCCATGGTTGTCAGAATTTTCACCATCTTGGAAGACTCCACTGTTCTTTCTCTAGGTAACTATGTCACTTGAAAATAATTGTGTGTCAACCATTAAGGTAAATTAAGGAATGACAAAGATTTGTGTATCTACTTTGCTGCACTCTAATATTTATATTTATTTCTCATATATACTCACTGACATGGCTTTTCTGTGTAAATTTCCAGGAGCTTAATTCAAACTTATTATTGTAAATGACTTCACTGAGCACATGAATCACAATAGGCTCACCAATAAATAGTTGATAGTACAGCATAAGTTGCATCAATCTTACTCTAATTCCTGCAAGCTTCATGGCTCATGAACAACATGAGGTCAGAAGCACTCAAGGGCTTCTTAGACATAATTCCTGAGCCATGTTTCTGCCTTCACTCATTCCTCTTCTCTCTCAACCCTGATTCTCCTCTCCCCTAATTGATCTGATCAGGAAGGTCCCCCATGTCCTCAGAGCTCTAATTCTCTCAAACTCAGCTCTTCATTCTCTTATTGCATTGCACCTCCAACAGTACCACAGGATGGCAAACATTTCTGTCTTCACAGAATTTTCCAGCCCAGAAGACCTTTGACAACCCCTCCCCCCCCAGCCGCCCCCCCCCCCCCCCCCGCCTCCTGTCACTTGTTGTCAAGTGAGGAGACTTCTTACCTTTGGCAGAGATGCCCTGGAACCTGAACTCTGGGTGGTCATTGTTAAGACAGTGGTGATGCCCAGTGCAACCCTAGCAGGGGCTGCATCCATGTTTATCCAAAAGGAGACCCAGGACAAAATGACTATCAACAGACTGGGGATGTACATCTGGATCAGATAGTATCCCATCTGGCGTTCCAGGTGAAACTTAACCTCGATGCAGGTAAACTTTCCTGAAAGCAGGAAATAATGATTTAAGATCCAATTTGAATTTATCTTTCCCATTCTAGCCTCCCACTGTTCAGTTTTTAAGAGTATTACAGGTGGATTTGGAAGATTGCACAAAATGCTAACCCTACATAACCAATTCAACTCTTTTTCAACTCAACCAGTAATGGAATTAACATTTGTGAGAATGAGTGATCTTAAGAGTCACTGGACTAAGGGTGCCTGGGTGGCTCAGTTGGTTAAGCATCTGACTCTTGATCTCAGCTCAGGTCTTGATCTCAGGGTTGTGAATTCAAGCCCTGCATGAGCCTACTTAATAAAAAAAAAAAAAAAGAGTCACTGGACTGAATGATTTTTCTAAATCTGTGCTTGTAGCTTGATTATTTAGACAGAACTTCAGAATTTGCAAGACAGTCAGAAACTGACAAGTAGAAATAGTGACATTTTGTGAGGTTATAATATGTAATATATAACATACAATACATAAGCTGCAGTATGTATGTATAGCATATAATATATAATGCATAATATGTAACAGTTGAAAATAGTAAAGTTCACATGGGGCCCTCAAATTAATTGGATAATTGTGTATCTATCTTTGTGCCATCCATAATAAGAGAAAAATGTACATTTGTATATGACATGCATATAATCTAGTCATTGTAACAATTTCCTAGCTTTCTGGGTAATTGCTTGAGGACATTTAGAATATTCCTAAAATCTGTTTACAGTGTTACAATACTTATAAAAGGAGTGTATACAAAGATATTAAAACTTTTAACATACTGTTAAGAGACAAATGTTCCTGTCCCTTGCCACTTTTCTTTCCCCTTAATTGGTTTGGAGACAGAACCCCGGAAGGTAATTTGGCTTAGTCCACACAAATTATGAGAGATAGGGTTGGATTCCTCTTGGTCAGGAAAAACACTTTGGAACCAGGTTTTGGTCACTTCATAAGAAGCACTATTGACTATTGGAATAAGTGTTCATGAATGTTCTATTTAGCAAGGGATCTGGAGCAGTCACTGAATGAATTATCCTGTCTAGCTTGCCTCTCCATGATCAGCTTGTGTGGTATCAAAGACTGGGACATTTGTAGGAAAAGCCATCAACTTTACTGGGCAGGCATGATCTTCTAGGTAACAACATAGGCTCACTTGTTACTACCTCCTCATATTCTCCCCCGACCTGTGTGTCTATCAGCACTACGACAGTGCGTGGCTTTAGAACCAGGTGAATTCCCACCAGCTGGTTTTCATCCAAATTCTTATCCCCATCAAGGACTGGAGAGCACAGCAACTGTATTTCTGGGTTTACAAAGTCCTATGTGGTTATTCCTCTCTTCCACTAAGTCAGAGAGTACAAACTGATCTGAGGATCCAGTGGCAAGAGTGGATGCCAGGAACGGGCCAGAATTTATACATTTCCTGCACTATATACAAGGTCTTGTACACATTTCCTCAAACTCATTTGACAGCACGTGGTCAGCAAGGGAACAGCAAAAGAATCCCAAATCTTTTTCCTTCTCTCTCCATTTTGGAGAAATTATCTATTGTGCTCACTGACTTATTCCAGAGGGTGCAGACATCTTATCTGTAAAGGGGGTTTTGAGCCAAGGTCTATGCCTTGTAGCATCTTATCTGCACACACTGCAGATAGAGCCCACTTGGGTTTAGCAGCTGAAAGTAAACTTACCAGTGTTATAGTGCTTTGTGCAGTAGCCAAGTTCCTTCTCTTCTTTCAAAATAAACTGAGGCAGGGTCAGTCCTTCAGCAACTTGAACTGGACCATCGCTTAACCACTCAAATATCAGGTCATTCATCGTGTACCCAACTGGAGTAAACAAATCATAGTGAAAAATTTAATGCATCTTTCCAGGAAAGCTTGAAAGTCTAGCCATGTAAAGAACAAACAAGGAAACCATCTAAAGCAGACACATGCCCAATCAATTCAAGATCATTTTTAGTAAAGGAGCTACAATCATCGTGACAACTACATGTCATTGGAGCCAAAGAAATTGAAGAGCACAAGCTATTTCTGAATGATTTTTTCTGTGTAATGGGAGAATGGAATCTATAAAGTCCATTTTCTTCTGCCCTCTTAATTTACTAAATCTTTCTGAAGAACAAACAAATAAATGAACATAAAAATCCTTTGAAGGTTGTCTTTATTTTAGAAAGAGCTGTGTCTGTGACAATCCAGTAAGACAATCCAATTCATGGCACTAGTCTTAGTATTTCAAATGAAAAGCATTCTTCTATTTTTATTAAATGAGAATGAATTCATCACAGTCCTGCCTAAAACACTTCCATTGTAAACCTGGCCCCTCTTCTAGGGTATATTAGCTTTGTTTTCAGAAAGCTTATGTTAGGATCATAGGGAAAGGGAGGGAAAACTGAATGGGAAGAGATCAGAGAGGGAGACAAACCATGAGAGACTCTTGACTCTGGGAAACAAACTGAGGGTTGTGGAAAGGGAGGTGGGTGTGGGGATGGGGTAACTGGGTGATGGGCATTAAGGAGGGCATGTGATGTGATGAGCACTGGGTGTTATACACAACTAATGAATCATTGAACTCTATATCAAAAAGCAATGATGTATTATATGTTGGCTACTTATATTTAAATTAAAAAAAAAAGAAAGCTTATGTTAAGGCTCTTATGGTCAATCCTCTGTTATTTTACCAAGTGGGGGAGACGTAAACAAGCAACCTAAAAGGAAGTTGTGGAATAATGCAAATCAGGAATATTCATTTGTGCTAGTATCTTGCTAACTGGGCCCACTCATCACAATGATTAATATGAAGTAAAACAGATTCTCCATCATATAAGGTCATATTGTTCTATGAATCCTGAGCCATCCAAAGTAAGACTGTTATCAGTTTAGTAAACCAGAGTTAGCTCTTAGTTTCCAAGCTCCTGCTAACTAGGTCATTATCTGTTAAGTGCTTCTGGATCTTTTTGTACCCCAGAAATGAAGGCTGCTATTCTTTTAGGCATCTTTTCTCTCCCTTCCCTCTTTGTGATATTTGAACTCTAAAATGAGAGTGAGGAGGACAAGGGATATTATGTTAGGTCTTGGTGGGCCAATAACTTCAGCATATTTATTGAGTTTATAGATTCTTTTTTACTACAAGATAGTGACTCGCCACAGCTACCCAGAAATCAATGACAAAGTTAATTGGAATCTACTTTCCTCTTTCTTTGAGCCACCTTTTCTATTCAAAGCCAAAAAATAAAACATGGAAAGCTGGGAATTAAAAAGAGGAGACTATATAAGTATTGATGTTCCACAAAGAGAATGGCTAACTAACCCTGTCTCTTGCACTGAACGCTATATGAGTACTTGTTGGGTTTCTCCAACCAATGCAAGAAGCTCATATCCCCATATCCATGTGATCCCATATCCTTATCTGGTCAGCTTCTTACTGGCCACCACAGTAATAGTTGTTGTCAGCCATCCTGAAGCCCCAGACTGGGGCAGACAGATGAGGGAAAGAGATGGGGAAGGAGGAAGTAAGTAATACCAGGGTAAAAGAGGAAGGAATAATTCTAAGTTAGTGGTAAACACTTTGCGGCTGCTTTGGTTTCGTTACTTCTAGGGCCTGCAAGGACCAAGCATATTTACTAATTGAAGTTTTTTAAGTCTTGGGGGAGCCTCAGATGACAGCTATGCTTGCTGTTTTACAGAGAAAATAAGTATTGGGTTGAGGCAGGAGAGAATTTGGAGCAGGAGAGGAGACACAAAGAAGGAACCATTATATAAGAAAATGTTTTTCTCAACTTTCTTCTCAAAAGAAGAGGCAATAGGGAAACAAATAAATACATAAAGCCTATTGTAAATCAGAAATTCTCATTTTGTCCCTGACAACTTCTTAAAACAAAGACATTTCATTATTTTGTTTATTTCTGTAGGGAATTTCAAGGGAAATCTACAGTGATTTTAAGTGATCAGAAGGAAACCCTGTCACTGCCTCTTTTTTAATAATAGTTGATGTGTCTTTTTATCTTTATTATTTTTCTAAACCAAGAAGTTAAAAGTATTTGCTTGCCCTTGCTTCATTAAATCTCCTAACATCCCTGTAGGTCAGTATTGCTTATTATTCTCTGTACTTTACAAACAGAGAAAGTGACAGAACAAGCCAAAAAAAATGTTCATGTCTTTTGCCTAAAAATCCCATTACCTTGGAGGCATCAGCAACGTATGGTACATGTCAAAGATGTCAGTGAAATCAGGGCTAGGGCATAAAGGGGATAAAGTAGATTACATTTCTCTATTTCCTTCCCCGTGCCTTTGTGGATCCACTGCCCATTTAAGGGAATTGCCTTTTTTTCCATATCATCTCTGGCCTCCCTGTTCTTGCATCCTCCTCTGGCTAAGGTCCCTATATCTTGTCCTCAAATCAGTTATCCCTTCCTGACAAAATTCCTTTGGGGTGATGGTCTATATGAGCATAAGATAGAAAGAAATATAATTTTCTGATGAGAAAGTGATTCATTTTAGAGATTGAATGACTAATAATCTTAATTTTCCCAGGAGACATTTTCATTTCAAATAAAAGTTACTAAATCGGGTTTGTTTTTTGAGGAAGAGCAAGTTACTTGGCATTTTACTTGAAAGATTGTCTGTATATGAGACATGCACACTTGCTTATCCTTCCATTAGGGCCTTGGGATTTGGTAATAGGTAGAGAATGAGTCTTATGGGTCCTTTCTTCTTAATGACACACTAAAAGAACCAGGTCATCGGTTAAAACAAGCAGGCAGTCATTTCAACAGTGGGGACTTACAACTCTCCAGCTGCATTGTACAAGTCTGGACATCCATTGGAAAATTCTTCAAGTCCATGGGACAGGATAAGGTCAAGGTGAGTCTTAGCAAAGAAAAAAAATTAAAAACAAATTTTAGATCTACAAGGTCTGAATCTTGAGAAACAAATCAACATTTGGCATTAAGCAAAGTGACACTGATTGAAATAATGAAATCTAAGATCCACACAAGGCAATGCTTTCTATTTTTCAAGTGAACAAGTAGTCATTTGTAAATGTTAGGAACGTTATAGAATTTCGTTATAACCCCTTACTCTCTATTTCCCATCTTCCAGCCTCTAACTCCCACCTCAGTGATCTCAAGTTTATTTTAGAATCAACAAGAGTGCTGAGAAATAGTATCATATGACAACAATGGGCTCTTACACTGATGTCCAAAAGACGTAAAGTTTATACTATTTTAGAGTTATACTTTGAGACAGGTGGACTTTGCTTCAAGGACAGTAAATGATGTGATAAGCATAATTGGTTGTGACAGGCATTGTTCTCCTTCCATCAAATGGGCAAATATTTAACTCTTCATTTGCTAATCCACATGGATAGGTTCACAATATATTGTAGCACTTATTCTAGAATTTTGACAAATCTGGAGCAAGTAATGCTTGAGTTAAAAGAACATTTAAGGACGGTAGCTTATAAATAGTCTTCACCTCTCTGCACCAAAGGAAGGCTACTCCGCTCCTCCTTCCCTGTTTCCTTAACTTTTCAGAGCTCCAGGCAGCTCTGACCATGCCTTGTATCAGGATATTGACTGAGCTGCTATCTCTTTCGCCATTTCCTTGTTTATTCCTCCAGGAGATGATGCACACCTCTTCCTCTTCAATTTTTCTAGACCTCAGATATGTAAGGAAGGAAATTGAGCACCACCAGATCTAGGTTCCTTTCCCAGTATTGCCTCAAACACTCTCTGTCCCCTAAGCAAGACCTTAAACTCAATAAACATTCATCTCCTTTTCAAAAGATGGGATAGGATAAAATGATGCTTATTCCCATTTAGTTCTAACATTAGCATCCCTGTTATTCTAAGTTCGCTGCTCCCGATTTTGTTCATTTTCTCTCAGACATCTTTTATACGCGTAGAACCCTCTGATGCTTGCACGGGTACTTAAACTCCCTTCTCCTTTCTTGGCTTCATTTTATACATTCCATGCAAGCCAAGACAAAACAAAAAGTAGTAGCACACTTATGTTAAAGAAAAAAAATGTTTGGGATTTGAAGTCAGATCAGGTGAAGAATCTATGCTGACAGTCTTCAAATTTTTGTTCAAATACAAGAACGATTGGGAAAAGCAAGATACAGAACAGTGCATTATAATCTCAATTACGTAAAAATAAGTTTTCAGTCTTGGAAATAAACACAACACTATGTTAAAAGTAAGTATTTCTGTTTGGTTGGGTGATTCATATTTTGTTTTTACTCTTTATTCAGCATTATCTGTGTTGACAAGTATAATTTATTTGAAGATGTCCATCTTCACGTAATTAAACATGCCTGTCTTCAAACAATAGCTGAAAGGTAAAATTATAAAATTCTGTCTTATTCAGTAATCCTTTGCTTTATTTTATTATAATTAAAATTGTGCCATAAACATACAGTATTTCACCTTCATTGCTAAACAAATTACCTAGCTTCTGTGGGCTGTTCTGAGAACATGAATACCATGTTTCTAAAGGAAAAAAAAATAGCTCTGAGTTCTAAACAACTGACGTAAAAATAGCATTTTAGACAGGATATATAATTTTTGTCAATCATAGAGTTCATTTAGAGATAGATATAAATGGAGATATAGATATTTAGATTTTTTTCCTATCATGAAGACTTTATTTTTTGGAAAACACAATATTGTTGAGATCAATGGCATGAACTCTTTAAGGGCAGAGTAAAAGAATCAAAATGAAAATTTCTAGTAATCAAAACTTTTTAAAACCTGGCACTTTATTAAGGGGGAAAAGACCTCAGCAGGATCTATGAATAGGGGTTTTGTTATTAACACAATGAGAATCCATTTATTCTCTATTTTTTAAAATAGAAATATTTTCATAAAATAAAAAATATGTTCATCTGACAAAAACAATCAGGGGGCATGTGCATAATTTAAGTGAATCAAAACCAGAAACTGGAAATTTCATCGTGATTTTGAAAAGTTTACTTTTGAGAAGTTAGAAAATAATAATAGTGGAAATGAATACAGCTTTGAAAAACATGCAACCATTCATTTGCTATTGGAAAAAACCCAGTTTTAATATTCTTAATCATAGGCTTGCTGAATATGATTCTTTTGTGAAGTGAAACTTTCACATTTATTTAGGGAGAAGAGGTCTCACACACAATTATTTCTGCCTTTGTGGAAGATCTCACAATCCTACAGGGACCCAGAATTCTTAGGGTCAAAACTATGAACAGAATGGAAAACCCCACTGAGAGAAATTCCCAACAAGCATAAAACTCTCTAATTCTGGGGTGCCTGGGTGGCTCAGTTGGTTAAGCGACTGCCTTCGGCTCAGGTCATGATCCTGGAGTCCCGGGATCAAGTCCCGCATCGGGCTCCCTGCTCAGCAGGGAGTCTGCTTCTCCCTCTCCCACTCCCCCCTCTTGTGCTCTTTCTCTCTCTCACTCTCTCTCTCAAATAAATAAATAAAATCTTAAAAAAAAAAACCTCTCTAATTCTGTCTCAGCTGAGAACTCAGCCGGTATTTTCCTTCTTCCTCATTTGTTTTTCTAATTTCCTTTCTTGATAGGTTTTGTATTGGAACCCGATGGGCACCAATACAAGGAGAAAAGTTAACGGTTTGTAGTTCGCTACATCATGTCATTAGCTGAGCAAATGGGGAAAGATTGTAAAGACCTAATCAATCCCTTCATGGGTCACAGAGCCCATAATTTATGTCTTGTTCACCACACACCTGCAGGCCTAAAATTCAGACTTGCCCTCTACTTATTTTTCCCTTTTTCATTGGAGTATACATTAAACACAGTAAAAACATACAAATCTTAAGTTAGAGAGCATGATGATATTTTACATCTTTATCCACCTATCTAAAAAGCACCCACATCCAGATTTAGAATATATCCATCACCCCAGAACTTCCCTTGTGCTCTCTTCCCTGGAAAGAACCTTCAAAAGGAAGTACCACAGCACTACTTTTATTTTTAAGCTATTTTTTATTTTAAAAATGTGACTTCTGGGGGGGATTAGCTTGATATTATTTTGGTTATCTCTACTGAGGTGTAGAAATTGCACCAAATAAGACTGACACGACATTATACTAAAACGTGAACAATTTTTCTCTCCAAAATAGATGTTCCCCATCTATTTTGATGGGTCTTACAGAATTAAGTATTTGAATTGAAACTCAGACTTTCCGCTGGCAGGTACTGCCTACAGCATATCAGATATGCTCTTCTTCCCCATGATCTAAAATATTAAGGCCATTGCACCTGAAGGCACTGAGCTGAGGCCACCCATCTTCCATTCGTTTTTTGTTAAATAACTCATTTCCTGAAGCATTATTACTACATTCCCCCACTGTCACTGCAGTTGACATGCATGCATTCAGGGTACCCCTGCTCCTGTTTGCACAAGGTAAAGAATAAAGTTCCCTTACAGGGGCCCTGTTACTGAGAGAAAGAAGGCTGAGTACCCATTTCTATTTTAAAGGCAAAAAAAAAATAAAATAAAATGAAGCACAGGAAGTCAGTCTCCCCAAATCTCACATGCCTTCCTTATTCCTCTCCTGTTCAGTTTACCTTGCCCATAAAACCGGCTCTTGGGTTTATACCTTACTCAAAGTTTAAACGACTGATAGAAGCAGACATTGTAAACTGTTTCAGTTACCCTTACATGTATCTCTCCCCTATTACAATGCAAAATCCACAAAGCCTGGGACTCTCTTTTTTACCATCTAAAACAGTGCCTGGCAAAGAGTAGATATTCAGTAAATATTTGTGGAACAAATGAATGAATCAGCATCCTAAAGCTCTATGGGAGGATTTCAGGCTTTTGTTCTGTGGAAATGAGAAAGGACTGTGGATTTAGAAGAGAGGAACCTGTTCACCAGAGCCCAGAGGGTGTTGCCAAATTACAAGACAGGCAAGGGAAGCCAACAAAGCTTGCTTGCCCCTTCTGTAAGTTGCTAGCTGGCTCTTACTAGAAGTGAGGCAAATCAAGCTGAAGGAAATTCAGGAAGCTCAGTCCACCTGTCCTTGAGCCTTGGACAGATAGTTGGGTCCATGGCCAGGACTGTTCTCACATAGCTAGAGAGATGCAAATTAATCATTTAACTTTCCATTGTTATGGTGGGCAGAAAGCTCCCTGACTCTTTTTTTTTTTTTTTTAAGATTTTATTTATTTATTTGAGAGAGAGAATGAGAGAGAGAGCATGAGAGGGGGGAGGGTCAGAGGGAGAAGCAGACTCCCTGCTGAGCAGGGAGCTCGATGCGGGACTCGATCCGGGGACTCCAGGATCATGACCTGAGTTGAAGGCAGTCACTTAACCAACTGAGCCACCCAGGCACCCAAGCTCCCTGACTCTTGAAGCAACTACGGTTCATAAGGAACTCAGTGTTAGAATTGGGAGTTCATTCCCAGTGAAAGAGGAGGGGGGATAAAGCCATTTGAAGAAAAAATGAATTTTCAGGTAGAAATACAAATTTTAATGAGTGATCTGTTTGCCTGAAGCAAAGATTGCTAGTGTACTATTTTGGGAGAGTTGATTCTAATGATTACAGTAGTCTGTCTTGCTTGGAGAGGAAGGACAAAGGGATATTTTTGTGTTTTTCAGGAGAAGCAAGAGAGTCTCTGGTATATTACTATTGTTCCTCTCTTAGGGCCAACGTTTAGCACACTCTATGTAGCACACTGCAAAACCCCATAGAGGGGACAGGACCTATGGTGAGTTTTTTTTAGCATTAAAATACTTATTAAGGAAAAATAAAAATTTAAGTGATGACAATGATAGTATTAATAATCATAATTCTCTGAGCACCTGCTGTAGGTCAAGCACTCTTATTATTTTACAGTCATGGGATACCATCACATAAGGCA